AAATAAATAAATAAATAAAGTACTCACATGGCTTTAAGAGGAAAAATCATTTGGAAGTATTTTGGAATAAATATAGTTAATGTTGCATTTAAATTGATCCAACAACTTACATATTTTCAAAATACTCACCCATTGAATGGGAGTCTTGCCTGGGTCTGGATACCAGATGTTCCAGTAAAATTAGAGTTGCTTGCTATAGACACATATGAAGACTGCTGTAGCTATATGTAAAGAAAGGGAAATTTAGATCATATTTGCAAAAATGAATAATGCTCTCAGGTACAAGAAGCATAAAGTATTACCAAGAAGCATAAATTCACCTACCAAAATAGAAAAAATATAATGGAGAATTTCATATAAAAAGCTAACACTAGGAGCACAAATAACATGAACGTTTTGCAGTACTAAATAATTAATTATTTTATTATGTCAGAATTATGGAAATTCTAGATGAATAAGCTGAAAGTAATAAAATAACACATATTGGCTATAAAAAATGTAATGTGCCTTTATTACAAATCATAGAAAATGAGAAGTTACATGCATAACTGAGTTTCTATTTTATACCTATTTCTTTTTTCTTATTTTGTGGTACTGGGGATAAAGCCTGGGGCATCATACATATTGGGCAAGTGCTTTCCTGCTAAGCTACATCTCCAGCCCTTTTCATTTTATTTTTGAGATGTGGACTCACTAAGTTGTCCAGACTATCCCCAAATTTGGAACTTTCCTGCCTCAATTTCCAAAGTAGGGAAGCTGAAAATATAGTTGTACACCACTGCACCCAGCCCTCTGTTTTATACTGATTTTTAAATATAAGAAATGTTAATAATAAAAATTCTGAACATTTTTTTTAAAATCAGTGGTCACATAACCTACGCCAAAATACATTTCATATAAAGTATACTTGTAGGTTTCTATTTCCTCTATTATAATCAGAGTTGATTGATTCAATCGTTTAGAACATGGTGCTAGTTAACTTGATCCTCAAATGACAAAGGAAATTTTCTATCTGCTTCATGGAAGCAGCACTCCCAACCCAAGTCAGCCAACAGAATAATACATGGCTTCAATCCTAATAATGACCAGATGATGGTGGACAGACAACTAAAGATATGTCACCTAGAAATGTATCGTGCTTGGAAAATAAACTGCAAAAGTCAGTGTCATCATATTTGTGTATGATGAAAGAACTTAATTATATACAATCTTTTCTAAATTCATTTGGACTCAGCTGACTCTCAGTTCAACTTTTCTCAAATCTTCAGTCTTGCACTCTCACCAGAACTCTTGCAAATCTAAACTGTCTGACTTTTAAACTCTGACTTATGTGTATATTTCTATTTTTTTTTTTTTTTTTGGTGTGTGTGTGGAGGGGGGAGGGTACTGGAGATTGAACTCAGGGTCACTTGACCACTAAGCACATCCCCAGCCCTATTTTGTGTTTTATTTAGAGACATGGTCTCAGAGTTGCTTAGTGCCTTGCCAATGCTGAGGCTGCCTCAGCATCCTGAGCAGCTGTGATTATAGGTATGCACCACCATGCTCAGCCTTGTGTATATATTTCTAAATGCTGAAAATACAGAGGAAAAAAACTCAGATGTTTTAACAGTTTGAGATTTTTTTAGAAAAAGTCACTTTAATATTGTTTTTGAGTAGTTTCAGAATGTCATAGTGGTAGGCATCTTAAACCCAATTATCATTTTGAGGTCTATGAAATACAATTACTTCATTTTTTCCCACCTACCTGAGTAACGTACTGAGCTGGAAGCACTGCATAACCCACATTCCCTGTTCCTGGAGCTGGTGCCAGGACAGTACCTGGTGGCAGGTTAGTGAGGTTGGGCTGGATCTGTGGCAGTGGGGTGGCAGGCATGATAAGCCGTTGCTGTGGTTGGCTAGTAGTTACTATTTGTGAAGTTGGATTGATGGGTTTGGGGACAACCTAAAAAAAAGACATTTTGTAATCAGTTTATCACAAATTTTATCACAAAAATAAATTTTCAGCTTCGCAATTCAGTATCTTATACTTAAATCTCAACTTTGAATTTAAAAAATAAATTATCATTTGAGAGAAACCAAGATAAGAAGTGATAACTTACTTGTTTGACAGCCTGAGCTTGGACAAATGGAACTGACATCCGCACTGGGGTTGTATTAACAACCACTGGCTTTGCTTTTTAAAAGAAGAAGGAAAATATGAATAATTTATTTACAGAAAACGACACTCAAAACTCTTGAGAATACTTTGCACTCCCCCAAGTTATTTTTCAAGTCATGAAAAATTCCACTTGCTTCCTATTTTGAGCAATCTTTAATCAGGATAGTTACCTTTCAAATTGCTTACCCCATCTACCTGAGAATTTTTATTAAAAGTGACTATAGGCTATCCACCTATTTGTAGACATTATATTAAAAATATTTCAATCTGTATTCAGAAGACTTAAACATTCAGTATTAAATCCAGTCAAATGAAATGTTTCATAAGTAAAAGAATCACCATTGATGAGCTTGGGTAACGACACTGTTCTATTCTCCTATTTCTAATTGCTGTGTTTCTATTCAAACCAGAGAAAATATCATTCTGGTAGAATTCAATATTTACAGAATAGATACAAAAGGCAGCATGGCATAATGTTAAAAATGTGGGTTCTAAAGTCATAAGAACCAGGGGATTCAAATCCCTGTTCTGCTACTTTCGTGACTTTAATTCTCTTTGCCTGTTCCTTAACTGAAATATGGGAGTATCTACCTTCAACAGTAAAGGACGAACTGTATCAATTCATGAAAATTGATTAAAATAGTGCCTAACAAATAATAAGTATTCAATAAATGTTGTCATAGTTATTACTATAACCATTATTACCATATAAATGGCATCATGGCCAGTATTCCAGGGAAACTAAAGTATTAGACACCTGCACTCAAGGACTTCACATTCTAGTAAAATAGATCAGGTAAATACTCAAATAAAATAAATACTATTAAAGAATATGATAAACTTTTGTGGAATTTCATAGAAGAGAAAATACACATCTTACTGACAGAGAATGGGAATATGGCAAGCAAGAATACACAGAGCTATGAGATTGGCACTGATCAATGGGCAGGTGGCAGAAAGAGCACACAGGTATTCCATGCAGGCTCAAGAAGGAATAGTAGAGCTTTGGTCCTGGGAAGCTGCAAAGCATACTGACAACATGTTGGCAAACAGACCAGTTTGTCTAGACTCTAGGGTTAAAGTAAACAAACACATACAAAAAGGGAGACATCGAGGACCTTAAATGTTAAGGTAGAGATCTGTATTTTTAATTCAGTAGGCAATGAGAAGTTTCTGGACATTCTGAAGTACAGAAAAATTATTCACAAAAAGAAACTGTATATGACAGCAAGAGTGTAAAACATAATCAAGTTGTAATAAACAAGACCAGGCAGAAGAGTGTAAAAATAGAGGGTCTGGGGTGACAGCCCTGGGAAGAAAAGGGAAAAATAGTTTTAAGGGACCTGGTGGAAGTGAAAGAAACATGACTAACCAACCACCGCGTTGTAGGAATTGAAGGTAGAGTGAAAGAAAAAGTAAGTTATGGCAGAGTTTTTTAAAAAAAAAAAAAAAACAGGAAAATGATGGCTATTTAAAACTGAAAACTTGAGGATGAGCTGATTTGAAGAAAGCAAAACCGGACATGGAGAAATAATGTGATGACATTCAGGAGAAAGATTGGCAGGAGATCAAAAAGGTTAGTCCAGGACCAAAAGAATTTTTAAAACTGCCAATTGCCATTTTAACAGTCTGAAAGAGGGATTTAAGAAGATAGAAAGGACACTTATTTGGGTTTAATATATGTTAAAGTAAGGCCTGGAGTCTGGACTGAGAAAAGTTGGAATAATGGGATCTAGACTGCTCTGAACAATAACTAAAAAATTCTATCCAAAGATTTCTTTGGATATAGAGACTATAATGATAGTAAGAGGTTTTCATACTTTTGAAGGAGACTGGAAGGCTAAAGACAAATCAAGAGAGTCCTGGAAGAGAACTTTAAAGACATCTGATCTAAGAGAGCAGGCTGTTGCAGCAAGGTGACAAACTAGGGAGGAGATGCAGGAAGAGTGGGAGATCTCCAGGTCTGATTAGCAGGATGGTTGTATAACTTTGAATACACTAAAAACCAGCATTGTATGCTTTAAAAGAGTGAATTTTATGGTGTCGATGAAAACTGCATCTCAATAAAGTTGTTATACAAAGGGTGTATGACTATGAAATAAAGGAACAGTGACATCTGATATCTAATTTAAAGATGTTTCTGTTCTGGTTTGATTCTCCTTAGGTTATTGAAGTGTTAGTAAAGTTATAATAACCACTATAGATTGTTCTCGGCAATACTAAAATGCGTGCGTGGGACACAGGAGAATAGAGGCCTTCCACTACTTGATACTTGAAGATGACGGTTACTGTTCTGTGCAGACACAGATAACAACAACTGGAAGAATGTGGGAACTTCCTGGTGGTCGAGAGAAATAATGCAGACCGACCTGTCATATCAAATAGGGGACTGTCCCTGCCTCCTCCTCATATACATTCATGAACGTACATATACACACGAGCAGGCACACACACCCCTAGAAAACTTAAGTACTTGAGATAATATAGGTCGGTATCTGCACACTGAGTTTTAACAGAAACCTGAGGAATAAGGACTATTATATAACTAAAGTGGTCAGAAAACAGAAACACTATAAAACAGCTAGGGAAAGGGATATTATATAATTAAGTCAATAGTTCATGTTTCTCCTCCTCCTCCTCACCTTGGTGTACATTACTAATTACTACTGTACATTTCATAAAAGCTGACATAATCTGTTTTGTTTTTTTGTTTGTTTGTTCTTTAACAGGAACTCTAAACAATCCTTGAGAATAGCTTCCTTCCAAACTTCAGACACCATACCAGCAAGTGTTAGAGGTTTTTTTAAATTTCTTAAGTTGATTTCCTCCTTTGCCAAGATGGTAGATTTCATTTTGAAGAGGTTAACTAAGTACTCTCCTGGTCCTTTTATGCTGCCTGCCAGCAAGTCAGTAATTAACACACAGAGCCTTTGAACATTGTTTTTTTTTTTTTTTTTTTTTTAATTTTTTTTTAGATGTTGATGGGCATTTATTTTGTTTATTTATTTATATGTAGTGCTGAGAATTGAACACAGTGCCTCACACATGCTAGGCAAGCACTCCACCACTAAGCCACAACCCCAACTCCTGAACATTGGTTTTTATAAAGCTCTGGAGGGCAGGGGAGTATACAAGGTGAACTTAATTCCTTTCTGCATTTAAGTAAATCCTTTATAGGAAATTATATCCTTAGAAAGATACAATATATCTGAGGAACTACAGCAACTATTTAGTGTATCTCTATAGTCATCATTTCTGTAAAATAACATATTTTATACAGCCAAATCTTTTATGGGACAGGAGAGAAAGACAAAAAGAGAAAAATAAGGTGGAAATTAGGGAAACTGAATGGATGGTTGTGTATGTGAGTGGGTTAGAAGGAGTATAAAGAAAGGAAGGGGAAAGAGGCAGAGGGAGAGAGGGGATAACAAAGAAGCAACACTAAAGGTGGAGTGCAAAAAAGGAAGAAGCCAGGAAGCAGAGGGTAGGATAGGGATTGCCAGAAGGACAAGAGAAAAAAAGCAGAGAGGGGCAGAAAGATGGACATAAAGTTGAAAAAAAAAAAAAAAAAAAAAAGGTACCAGTAAATACATCAGACTTATGAAATACAGCCCAACCCATTTCTCCACTTTCCTGGATCACTTATACCAAAGCCTTATTCTTATGAGTTAATTAAGGTTAGCACCGCAGGGAAATGGGCTCTCAGTAAACTATACGAATATAAAAACACACACACATTATATATAACCAATAGAATCTAATGACTTCTTTATATCAGCATGATATCTAAGTAGATGGGTTTGTAGCATTTCTCTTGGTCCTTGCTAAGTTTAAAGTATTGAGAGAATATAAAACTTGACTCCCTTAGCCAATAATATGCAAGTTTCATTTTTCCTCTCATTAAGAATGCTACAATAAATATTTTCTTTCAATGTCAACTTAAAAAAGGGATTAGAAAGTATAATTTGGTATGTCTAATTTGGTAGAACACATACTAAAATACTGTCTATTCCATTTTTCTCCCTTCAATGATTTGAAAAAGAAAGTTTCTTTTCTTGTACAGTTTCCTATAGTTGAACTAGCTATCAGCAGTAGGTAGCTCCAAATTTCTGATCACTTAATAAATGAAAAGATGAACCAACTAATCTTTAATTCTTCTACTGACTTCTTTGTTTTGTGGTGTGAGAACCCAGGACCCAGGACCTACTGCATGTTAGGCAAGTGCTCTACCACTGAGCTAACATCCCCAGCCTATTTACTTCTAATAAACAGTAAGTCATCCATTAGCCATCCGTTGCATTTTTACATTGCTGGAATAAAAAGCAGCCTTCCAAAGAAAAACTTAGATCTTCAACTATTAACTATTCTGGTCCTTTCATAACAATCTTTTTTACAATATTTTTTAGTTGTCAATAGACCTTTATTTTTATTTACTTATTTATATGTGGTGCTGAGAATCGAACCCAGTGACTCAAACATGCCAGGCAAGCACTCTACCATTGAGCTACAACCCCAGCCCTCTTTCATACCAATTTTTTTTAAAGTAGACAGACATGAGAAAGGTTACACATGTGTCTGTGTATGTGTATCAGGTGTAGGAGGGTTAAACACAAACACAGAAAACAGAAGGAAAACAAAGAAATATCTTCTAGAAAAAAATACAACTAGACAAACTAATGGAACATTTTAGAACTTTTTATTAACTAGATTCAAAATAAGTATCACTCAAAATAAAATTAAATACAGTATTAAGTTCTTATTTATACCCTTGCCTATTTCAACACTATCAAGGGGCTTCATAGCTCAGAAACTGAAATAAATAATTTGGTTCCATCTAAATCTATTCCAATGGCATCAATAGTAGGTTTTTAGACCAGTATCAAAATAGACAATCACAAATAAATAATTATGATTATCTGGTATTATAGCACACCTCCAGCTACCAACTTCTAGTATAATGCAATACCACAGTTGTATACAACTATGATTTTATTTCACTGCTGATTCAAACTATCAGCTGAAATGCCACAATCAAATCAGAATTTCAGCAAGAAAAGGACCAATGTTTTTAATAATGTTAAAAGCATCCATTACTATTAGGAAAAAAAAAAAAAAATGGTTACTAACCTTGCTGAAGAGGCTGAGTGTTTGTACTGGGATTCTGACTAACTGGTTGGGTTGAGCTACTGGCTGTTGTGGCAGTAACAAGTCGGACATAATGAAACTTGCTTCCAGGCACTTGAATCTGCTGGACATTGGGAGCAGTTGCCAGAGGAATAATTGTCTTAAACTGTGATGTGCTCACTCCTCCAACAGTGATGGTCTGCACAGCTGATTTCACTGCCTAGTAAACAATACAACACAACATGGCTATCATTAATCTGGGATTTAACTTTCCTATTCTTTTAACTTATGATGATTGCTCAAGTAATAAAGAATGCTCCTGTATTTCATCAAAAGCTGTTGAAAAGAACAACCTGTTCAAAGAGAAATGAAAAAGAATAGTAATGAATACAGGAGTGAAAACAAAATTAATGAGTTCTACCCTCCATTTCTAGTAGTCAACTTCCTCAGTACTCCAGGTCAGAAAATTTGCTATAAAGAAAATATTACTTAATTTGCAAAAACTTACACAGTCTTGTTACTATCAGGTAAAATTCACAAGGAGTATTTTTAAAACTCCCAGAATTAAGCACTATATTCAATAGAGAGAAAAACAGATATAGGTATTACCACCAAATTAACCATAATAAATTTTATGTTCTAAAGGAAAAAGAAAAGTCCATCTATACCCTTATTAAAGTCTAGTCAATTCTGAGAGGCTTATAATACCCACTCCCCATGTACCACAATACCCACTAGCAAGATGCCAAATTCAGCCCAAAATTACCCCATTTTGTTTGTTTGTACAAACAAAATGATATATTGTTTTTTGTTTGTACAGAGAAACTAACCAATTTTAGATAAATCAGATCTCAGTCAATACATTATTTTAATATTAATCCTTTCCTTCAGTCAGACAAAAACTGATGAGACATCTGCAAAAGCTTAAAAAAAAAAAAAAAGCTGAGTTAACTAGACTTCTGAGATGTCCCTAATTTATGTTATGACTAATATATAACACACAGGCATCCAAAGCAAAGAACTGTTGTATGGTATTGTTTTATAAAGGTTTATGTCCCCCACCTTTTCTACATAAAGCCCTCATGCTAAAAGACAATTGAAATATAATGAAGGAAGTCTATATTCGCCATGAAGATAACTATTTATGAAAGAAGAATTCTGAAATTGTTGAACATTTTCATAAAAGCCCAGGTAAAAACAAAAAAGAGAATGTCATTTAGTATGAAAACTCTGCAGTCAAAGGAGATTACTTTTGCAAAAAATAATTCACATGTTGTCATTAGGCAGAGGCCCTAAAAAGCAGATTTAAAATAAAAAGATAACCGTACTTACAATATCAGGCAAATATGTCCAATAGGCAAATATGTACAGTAGTCAATAGTGCAAGATACAATCCTTGCCATATATACACACACACAAACCCACACACAAATATGTACATATGTGTGCATATACTTATATATTTTGGCTATTTGGTACGCATTGGGGGAAGTACTAAAAATTCTACATACATTAACTGGTTTTAAATCTAGCAACTACATTGAAAGGTAAGTGTAGCACAACACAAGTACAGGGACTGGTTTATTTTAGCTGGCACATTATCTTCTTTTTGGGGGGCGGGGTGGGGTGGGTACCAGGAATTGAACTCCGGGGCACTCGACCATTGAGCCACATCCCCAGCTCTATTTTGAATTTTATTTAGAGACAAGGTCTCTAGGTGCTTAGAGCCTTGCTTTTGCTGAAGCTGGCTTTGAACTCACAATCCTCCTGCCTCGGCCTCCAGAGTCCCTGGGATTATGGACATGAGCCACCACACCTAGACACATTATCTTTTTTTTAAATAAATTTTACTGTGTATATTTAAGATATACAGCATAAGGTTATGTATACAGACAGTAAAATGGTTACTATGGTGGGACAATTAATATATTCATCATTTCACATGAATGCCCACTTTTTGTTGGGGTAAAAACAACTAAAATCTTAATTTAACAAGAATCCCAAATACAGTATAAAACCTATAGTCTTTATTCTATTAGGTTCCCACACTTTGTTCATCCTACATATTTGCTACACTGTATCATCTGATCTACATTTCCCTATTTCCTCTGCTATGGCTGCCAGTGGCAAACACTGTTTTATTCTCTATCTGTATATTTGATTTTTCTTAGATTCTATAAAGTGAGATCATGCAATACTTCTCTATGTCTGACTTATTTCACTTGGCTTAATGTCCTCCAGTTTCATCCATGTTGTGGTAAATGGCAAGATTTTTCTTTTTTAAGGTTAAATACTATTCCAGTGTATGAGTGAAAGTGTCAGTTTCTTTATCCATTCATCCATTGTGGACAGTTAGAACTGTAATATATATATATATATATATATATATATATATATATATATATAGGCTACTGTGAATGCTGCAATGAACACAAGTTGGTGATTTCATTTCCTTTGGTCATATGCCCAGAAGAGGGATTGCTGGGACATATGGTTGTTGTGGCCCCACTCCCTCATTCCCATCCCCAGCCTTGAGGTGGAGTCTTGCTGTTTTCCCAGGCTGATCTCAAACTCCTGGACTCAAGTGTTTCTCCCATCTCAGCTTCCCAAGTAGCTGAATTTCTGGTATGCAATAACCCAAACAGCTTGTTTTAAAAATTTCTTTAGAAACTTTCATATGGTTTTCCAAAATGGCTGCATCAATTTGCATTCCAATCACCAGTGTGTAAAGATTCCCTTCTCTCATCACCATATTTATCTTTTGACTTTTTGTTCACAGCCATTCTAAAGGGCATGAGATGGCATCTCACAGTGATTTTGATTTACATTTCCCTAACAATTAATGATGCTGATTACCTTTTATAAGTCTGCTTTTTTTGTTGTTATTTGGTACTAGGGATTACCCAAAGGTGCTGTATCACTAAGTTGCATCTCCAGTCCTTTTCAATTTTTAAATTTTGATACAGGGTCTTGTCAAATTGCTGAGGGACTCACTAAGTTGCTGGCTGTCCTAGTGATTCTCCTGCCTCAGCCTCCTGAATACCTGAAATTATAGGTGTTTGCCACCATATCTGGCTGTTGATCATTTTTATATCTTCTTTGGAGAAAAGTCTAGTCAGACCCTTTTCCATTTTGATAATTGAGTTATTTATTTTTCTATTATTGAATTATATGAGGTCTTTATATATTTTAGATATTAACCTCTTATCAGATATATGATTTATAAACATTTCTTCCCAATCTGTAGGCTGTTAATTCATTTGTTGTCTTCTTTGTTACTAAGATTTTTAGGTTGATGGATTCCCATTTATTATTTATTTTATTGTAGCATGATTTTTTTTGGTACAATATCCCCCTGCCAAAAACAAATCATTGTCAAGGCCAATATCCAGGAGCTTTTTCCCTAGGTTCTCTTATAGGAGTTTCATAGTTTCAGCTCTTACATCTAGGTCTTTAATCCATCTTGAGTTGATTTTTGTACATTGTATAAGGATCCAATTTCATTTTTTTGTATGTGAAAATCTAGTTTTCCCAGCATTGTTTACTAAAGACTGTTTGCTTCCCATTGTCCTCTTGTCAAAAATTAGTTGAATATACATTTGTATTTATTTCTGGACTTTCCATTCTGTTCCCCTGGTCTATGTGTCTGCTTTCATGCCAATACCATACTGATTTATTATTATAGCTTTACAATATAATTTAAAATCAGGAAGTGTGATGCCTCTGATTTCTCTTTCTCAGAATTGTTTTGGCTTTGGGATCTTCATGATTCCTTATGAACCTCAGGATTTTTTTAGAATTGTTTTTCATTCTATGAAGAATGCCATTGGGATGTTGAAGGGGTTGAACTGAATCTGTAGATTGCTCTGGGTAATATGGACATTTGAACAATACTAATTCTTCCGATTTATGAGCATGAGATATTGTTCCATTTATTTGTGTCTTTTTCAATTTCTTTTATCAATGTTCTTTTTTCTCTCTTTATATTCAATTTTTAATGTATCCTAAACATGAAGTCATAACTGCAAGCTGTACATAACTGGTTTTCTTTAAGAAAAAAATCAGAACTGAATATATTTTTAATATTATGTAAGTCTTTACATTTAGTATAGTTAAATATTTGGATTTAAATCAATCAGTATACTATCTTCCATTTGAACTACCTCTTCTGTTCCTTTTTCTCTCCTTTCTTGCATTCTTTTGGACTAAATATTTTATTGGGGTTAGGGGTATAAATTTCCCACCATAAAGAAAGTAAAAAAGAAAAAGTTATTATTTCATTTCCCCCATATTAGCTTGTTACTTATATATTACATTACTTTTCTTTAAATGGTTATGCTAGATATTATAATATAAAATGTAGGAATATAAGTTAGTACTTCACATACTACTGAATAAAATAAACAGAGAACACTTTATCCATTTACTTTTTGCTCCAACTTTGTGCTACTATTAAATATTTTAATTTTACATAATTTAAACTTTACGAGCTATTCATTTAGGGGCTGAGATTGTGGTTCAGTGGTAGAGCACTTGCCTCAAACGTGTAAAGCACTGAATTTGATCCTTAGCATCACATAAAAAAATAAATAAATAAAATAAAGTTATTTTGTCCATCTAAAACTAAAAATATTTTTTTAAAAAAAGATATTCATTTAGTTACTTCTATAAACTTACCCTTATTGCTGCATGCTTGGGATCATTTTCCTACTGCTTTAATAATTCACTACGGGATTTCCTTAAGTGTGGGTCTACTGATGAGAAAGTTTCAAAATATCTAACGCTTTCTTGATCTGGATCTGATCTGTTGATAAACTCATCTACTGAGTTCTTATATCAGTTTGGAGTTTAAAATATTCATCCGATTCCTTTTCATAGTTTCTACTTGACTGCTGAAATTGTTCATCTTGCTAAATAAATTTTTTAATACATCAATCTTAGTTATTTAAGTCTGAGTCTAATAATTCCTTTACCAGTATATCTTGGATTTGAATAATTTGGTCTAGTGTCCTGTATGACTGAAGACTGTTTACTGTTAAAAAAAATTAAGGAGATAATTTCAGGCTCTGAATTATGCTATATGCTTCAAGAGAGAATTCACTTTGGCTTTAGGAATGTAGTTCAGAGTTAAGGGCATATTTTCCCAAGCCAATCACAAATTGAGGCCATCTCAAGTTGACTTCAATCCTTGTGAAACCTTGTTTGTATCTAGCCCTCTTT